TGCAGCTGCTGCTGTACAAAGCGCAGGCGTGTTTGCACGGATCAAAAGCAAAGCAGCCTGAAAAAGCAAGAAAAGGAGCTGGACCCTAAACCCTAAACCCTAAACCCTAAACCCTAGACCTTAAACCCCCCTGGAACGCTTCTGCGTGGCTGTTGGGGCCTAAACCCTTTATTAAATGCAGCTTGTTGGCTGCCTTTGAAGTTTCGTGCCGGGTGGGGAGCATAGGCAGAAGAGCAGGGTTTAGGGTTTAGGGTTTGAGGTTTAGGGTTTAGGGTTTAGGGTTTAGGGTTTAGGTGCGCGCTGGGGGCGCTGCGGGGCGCCCGCGCGGGAGAGCGGGGCCAAAGAGACAAAGAAAAGAAATAAATTAAATTAAATTAAATTAAATTAAATAAAAATAAAAATAAAAATAAATTAAAAAGGGAAAAAAGGAAAAGATGGCGCGCACTTGCGTGGGACGCAGCCGCAGGACTCGGAAGCATGCGTGTCGAGCAAAACCCTAAACCCTAAACCCTAAACCCTAAACCCCAAACCCTAAACCCTCGCTAGGCTTGTCTTGGGATTGCCCGTGGGGTTTTATTCATTTTGATGGATTTCCAAACCTCTCTTTTTCGAAAATGAATGAAATGCGAGGTCTGCGGCGAGTGTCACTGCAGCAAACCCTAAACCCTAAACCCTAGACCCTAAACCCTAGACCCTAAACCCTTTTTTCGGGTTTTCTTGCTTTTCTTCTTTGAGGTCTTCTCTGCGTCTGCTGTCTCGCCTCAAGCTCCCCCAGGGGCCCTCGCGGGGCCCCGAACTTAACCCTGGCCTAAACCCTAAACCCTAAACCCTAAACCCCAAACCCTAAACCCTAATTTTTCGCCTTGCTCATGCCTCAGCTCAAAGCAGAGGTGGCTTTCAGCGTGTAGCCTGCAGCCTCCCCGCTTCTGAAGGCCACGGGAACAAGGGTAAAGGGCTAGGGTTTAGGATTAGGGTTTAGGGTTTAGGGTTTAGGGTTTAGGGTTTGTGTGTCTCTCTGCAGCGACGCTCGACTCCCTCATGGGGAGGGACCGAAACGAATATGGCGCTAATGCGAAGAAAGGCGCTTCTTTTAAAGCAGATTCGGTCCATAGGGTTTAGGGTTTAGGGTTTAGGGTTTAGGGTTTAGGGTTTAGATTTTACGACAAGCATGGCCCGTCACTACAGAAGGTTGGGCAGCTGTAGGGTTTAGGGTTTCGCCGCAAGTGCAGACGCAGCGGGCTGCCTTCAGACCACAAGCTGCTTTAGGGTTTAGGGTTTAGGGTTTAGGCTTAAGGGTTTAGGGTTTAGGGTTTAGGGTTTAGGGTTTGTGTGCTACTTTCAGGTCTGCAAGTTCTATTTGCTCGACTTCTGTCCCCATGACCTTTTTCCGAACACACGGGTTGACCTTGGGCCGTAAGGTTGAGGGTTTAGGGTTTAGGGTTTAGGGTTTAGGGTTTGGGGTATATGGCCACTCTTCAGGGTTTAGGGTTTTGTTTTGTGGCCTCCGGCTCGCACCTGCTGGCGCCTTTGCGGGGGTTTCTCGGTGCCAAGTGTCCTGCGTCTCTAGGGTTTAGGGTTTAGGGTTTAGGGTTTAGGGTTTAGGGTTTAGGGTTTGTGCTGCAGGTGCGACAGGGAGCACAGAGCAGACTTGAAGGTTGCCTTTGAGACAGACCCTGAGAGGGAGTTTTACCAAGCCCTCTTCGAGAACGAGTTTGCTCGTAGGGTTTAGGGTTTAGGGTTTAGGGTTTAGGGTTTAGGGTTGCGTTCAGGCTGGGGTTCCTGCTGAGGGTTTAGGGTTTCCGATTTAGGGTTGTTTACTTTTCGCGCGCCCCCGTTGCGCGGAAGCGCCGCGGAAAACTCGGGGGCCCGCGGGTTTAGGGTTTAGGGTTTAGGGTTTAGGGTTTAGGGTTTAGGGTTTGTCTGCAGGCTACCTGCAGCGGCTGGTGGACCAAATGGAAAACCGAATCAAAAGAGTGCAGCAGCGGATTGACGCAAACAACCAGCCAGTGGAGCTCTCGAAGGAGAACGAGGAGCGGTAAACCCTAAACCCTAAACCCTAAACCCTAAACCCTAGGTTTTGAGCGCTTGGAGCGCCGCGGCTCCAAAGCCTCAGGGGTTTTGGGCACCGTTAGGGGTTGGTGGCCGCGCAAACCCTAAACCCTAAACCCTCGTTGCTGCAGGTGCCAAGCCAAGGCGGTTCAGAAAAGGTTAGGGTTTAGGGTTTAGGGTTTAGGGTTTGGGGTTTTTGTCGTTCCTGTGCAGCGTCAATTCTATGAATGCCGAAATTTCGGAGCTGCTGAAGCAGCAGGATGAAGCTGGATCAAAGGCAAGTCGCTTCCGAGGGTTTAGGGTTTAGGGTTTAGCTAGGGTTTAGGGTTTAGGGTTTTATGTGTTAGGGTTTTATGTTTCGAACGCGGTCTGTTCTCGTCAGTGTAGTTAGCGTTTAGGGTTTAGGGTTTGATGTGGCACAGGGAGCTGTTGCCTAGCTAGGGTTTAGGGTTTAGGGTTTAGGGTTTGGTGCTGCGTAGCGAGCTGTTCCCTCGTCAGGGCAGCTTGGGTTTAGGTTTTAGGGTTTGTTGCGGCGCGGCGAGCTTTTTCCTCCCGGGGGGTTTAGGGTTTAGGGTTTAGGGTTTAGGGTTTGGGGTTTGTTGTTCAGGGAGATATCGACGCAGCAGAGAAACTTAACGAAAAGGTGGCTTTCCTGCAGCGGGAGGTGTCGAGGTGCGTAAACCCTAAACCCTAAACCCTAGTCCCTAAACCCTAAACCCTTGGTTTGACCGTGGAGATAATTTTGGAAGTTTGCACAACTTGCACTGGGGTTTCGGGCTCGCTTTTCTCTTTTGCGAGGGTTTAGGGTTTAGGGTTTAGGGTTTAGGGTTTGTTTGCAGGCTGAAGAATCCGAACGCCGACATTGCGACAATCCGCGAGTCGCAGCTGCGCGTGGGTGTCTTTTCCAAATTAGGGTTTAGGGTTTAGGGTTTAGGGTTTAGGGTTTGGGTGTTGGCGTTTTGGTACCCCGTTGGTGATGCGCAGCTGTCGCTGGCTGTGGCTTAATGGTTGAGGGTTTAGGGTTTGCTTCCTGGCGGTTTAGGGTTTGTGTTTGTCGAGGGTTTGTGGTTTTGTGACTAGAGGGTTTAGGGTTTTGTTGAGGGTGTTGTGGTTTAGTGGTGAAGGGTCCCGTGGTTTAGGGTTTAGGGTTTGAGGCTCTTGGGCTTTTCGCTTGGTTTAGGGTTTAGGGTTTAGGGTTCGTGCTCTCCGTTGTCCGTCTGCCGTGTGCCCATTGGGTTTTTTCGCTAATTTAGGGTTTAGGGTTTGGCGTTTCTGTTTCGCGTCAAGCCATTCGTGGTCCTTTCTAGGGTTTAGGGTTTAGGGTTTGAGTAGCTCCGTGTCTGCCTCTCACTTCGGGGTTTAGGGTTTACTGCATGCACCCCTCAACCTGTTGTTTGTGCCCCTCGCCCGAGGGTTTGCCGCATGTCCCGTGCCCCCTAGGGTTTAGGGTTTAGGGTTTAGGGTTTAGGGTTTACTTTTCCCGCCTCAACCCCCCCTCTTCGCTCTTTCCACTTGCCCCCCCTCCCTTCTTCCCTCCCCTTCCCCTTCCCCCACCCCCGCCTCCAGGCTTCAGGCTTCAGGCTTCAGGGTTTAGGGTTTAGGGTTTAGGGTTTAGGGTTTAGGGTTTGGGGTTTTGCAGGTCTGCACGACCTGCGGGGCCATGCAGTCCACGGGCGACGCTCTCTGCCGCTTCGAGTCCCACGTGAGCGGCAAGCAGCACCGCGGCTGCGAGCGAGTGCGAGCGGCGCTCGCGGCTTTGAAGGAGAGCGAGGGCCGGCGGCAGCAGCTGCTGGAGAAGTTCAAGCACAAGTCTGCTGCTGCTGCTGCTGCTGCTGCTGCTGCTGCTGCTGGGGGGGGTGGGGGG